GGACGAAAAACCGAGGCCCCGTGTACACGTAAAAGATCCCTTGACAGTTGGAATTCGATATAAGTGTAGGCCGTAGTGCCGCTTTCCCTCGTACACTGTATGGCATATGCCCGTCTTCATTAGCCCAGTTCGGAACAGAACAGTAGGACGTTAAACCCCATTTCATTTCATTTCATGCGTTGCAGGTATATAGTTTGGGTAGATCAACGATTTGGGTTAGGGTTCAAAGGGTCTGTAGCCGAAACTCTGAACATTCATATCCTTAAAGACCCGGTCACAGGTTCAAAGATATGGCTGTTTGGGATCCACTGAGGTTGTATGAAATCGTCTATAAATTAAGAATAATTTCGTCATGTCTGAATCAAATTCGGATAGTTCATCAGCAACGACAACTTTAAATGTACGGGAGTGAGACGAACATAGATGACAACTAACATTTGGCACAAATGGGGGTGTATAGCAAACCATTATGTATTTTTAACACAGCCACATTTTGTATTTGTTCAGTAGTGCTTATAATTTAATGTGGTCCTAAAATTCCTAAAAGGCAGGACAGAGGTTACCAGGCCGGGTAACGCGTTGGGTATCTCCATGGGGAAATTTTCCGGGTATGCGGGGATATATCCACCGCTTGTGAACAGTTATTCCGCATGTTAATTTCTAGGCAACATATTTTCTGTATTAACCACAAACGTTTATAAAACAGATTAAACCATGTGTCAGACAGACAAAAAGAACAGATTTACATAAAATGATCATAATGGCCATCCTTTATAAAAACATGATCCCTGCTTACAATTTGACCGTTTACTTTATAAAAGTGACATTAGTGAGTAACTAGATGTAAGTATATTTGAAGAAGGGTCAACAAGGGATTAAAGATAAGAGTTTTATATACAGGGGTAACTGTATGTTTATATAGGTAATAGATCTACAGGGTAAAGATTGATAGGAACACAATACACTGTACTTTACTTATCTTTAGACTTATCTACAAACCACTTAAACAATATCTCTTCCCTTTCTTTTACTAATCTGTCATTAGTCACCATCTCTAAGTACCCCCCCCCCCCTCCCGTCTTCTAGCTGACATAATATGTAAAGAACACAGTTCTGTTGAACAGAATTACGGCATGAGCGACATTGCTTAGTAAAGACCCCAAACTCCTAGTCGAAACCTCGCCCTAGCTCAGTGATAATAAACAGTAATTGTTCTTTCGAATTTCTAGATCAGTTACTAAATGTCACAGGAAAAAGGCTTAAGATGACCAGAAACCAATCGTCTATACAGTAAAATCAGCTGCATGCATTGGGTAGGAATAGGGGGTTAGTTAGTCAGTTTTTGACATGTCGGTCTTCAGCTGTATAATGAATGGAAATAAGAACATTACATAAAGGTTGTAGATTTAAATAAACGTTAAATATATGGATTTCAGAATCCAAGTTACACTATTTTGGGAAATTAAAATCTGAGATAGAAATCGGTTAGATCTAAAAAAAACTAAAAAAAAGAAAAGAAAAACAACAATCAATAAAACTGATACCTATGCAATTTTCCAGGATTTTTCATCTTTTCAGAATTAATGGAAATTGACTATAATATTGTAGACTACGTAAACTGGCTGTGCAACTTCAACAAGGACCATTTTCTGGTATTTCTTTGTGGGGAAACCAAAAATCGTATTTAAATCGTATTAAATTCATAGCCTACTTTTATCGTGTTTCTTTTTTATCATTCCGAGTTTTAAAGAAAAAATAATCCTGTTTAAAATATAAAATACGGAATATGCAAGGAAAGTAAACGAAAAACGAATTGAACGATTACACTAGATCTAATTCCGGTCACCCTAACCGTAGTGTAATGCTTTAGGCCATTAACACTTCACATTCCACATTGTTAGTAAAGTGAAAATAATGATAATATATTTTCTCGCCGCATGGTTAGGGATATATATTTATTCACATATTAAACAAGTGGAAAATTTAATCATATTTCATCAGCCGTTTTAATTAAAAATAGCATATATCTATCAGAGAAATGAATGATTGCATATGTTCATATCTATTGATAAACTCCTCCAGTTCATCCAGTTTATAAATACCCCGGGGCTTCAACCACTCATTGAACGCAACCCCAGACTCAAGCCAATCCCTTTCCGTCTATTATCATTATGTATCATAACGCCTGCTCTTATGGACTAGTAATTATTCCCCATTATTTACGAATGCAGTGCGAGTTATAAATAGACAATTTTTCCCTTACTTTTTTCTCCACTCTTCCTGCATTTTTTGGTTGACTTTATAGTCTAGAATTGGAGAAAAGGGATCAAATTTGCAATTTCATAGCAGTTTTCGGTAATACTGATGATATTATAGTGGAGGGATAGGGGATGTAAAGTGTCTTTCATTGTTTCGGAAGTGCGATTTTGACCCCAATCAACATCAAATCCCCGTAGCAAAAAAATCTAAACGGTCAACTCGGTACAAAATTATGATGCGGAGATTATTGTACCTTTTAAATTCGTGAATTCAAACAAATAAAGGACGGACTTTATTCTTTTTATAATTACACGGCTTACTTTTGTTTATTATCAAGTGTATTCGTTAAAGAACCCATCGGAGTTAGAATTCGATGAAATTAAAAGTCACTGATCCCGATGGACCATTTTCAGACACTATCTAATTATTCACGACTTAATTCACGCTAAATTATACTCAAATGGGTTCTTAACATTTACTGAAGATAACAGAACCAAAGGAGGTCCCTCATAATTTTCTGACCAACATTTATATGTGTCACTATTTTTTGACAGCTAGTACTTTCAGAATATTGTAGTTTGTACATGATTCAAAATCCCTCACATTATGATCAGTGGCATTAACTGCCACTACATCTTACAAACAATCCGTACTTTCATTAATGTTCTCTTCTGATAATCACCTCATCGGACTTGTCCTTCTCCTGTGACGTAACAAAAACAATATGGTAGCCGGAAGCGTTGCATATCGCATTATTACATAAACTAAAGACTTCTATAAGTTCTAGAGATTTATAAATAACTCTTATGGCGATATAAGATCGGACTCTTATGATAATATTATATAACAGTTTACAGTTTAGATAAACTATTTAATACTTATTATAATACCTACAGCTTAATCAGCCAATCATTTGTCACGTAACAATACCATTATCGACAAGTCATAAATATCATTGACAATATCAGTGCCCTCGGAATCAGTTGAGATGACCTGCAGGGTGATATAAGATTTGGTTTTATATGTTACAGTCAGTCAAAGATCTTCACAACGTCATTGTTAAAATAATACACATAAGAATTCGACATTATGACTGCTCCTGTGTAGTTGCCCTGAATGCGTGTTCAGTTAGTCCGAAAATCATCGTTTTAGACGTAGCCATATAGAAACAACATACTCGTATCATCTAATATTGATTCAATAATAAATGCATTTGCCTACACATTCATTAATAATAGCGGCAGTCTTTTGGTCACGCCTTCCCGTGATCGTAACGATTAGGTAATACACACGTGTTGCGTTTCAAAAACTTTCCTTTGAAGTATAAAGAACGATGTAATTTCTTCAGAAAGAAAACTAAATTTCCTGGTAGATTTTTCAACTGATGGTTATGTTTTTTGGAATCGCAACTATCGATATAATTAATATATCTTTAATCACGTATGGCGTGACAAAACAGATCAAATTATAAACATATAGCATGACAGCCAAATTTATAGATAGCACACAGTGTTCCGTATGGAGCGGAATTCATGACTCCTACCATAGTAGTGGCTTATGCTGATATGCTTGTTTCATTGCACAATCCGCGGTACAAGGTGCATACAGTAAATTGGCTAATTTGTGATAAAATTTCTTAAATACTGCAACTTGAATCAATATGGATTGATATAAAATGAAATATGAGAGTAAATTAAAAGGTATATTGAAAATCGCACACAATATAAATTTAAACTACAATATTTACGAAACAAGTTATATAAATTAGCATTTGTACATTTGTAAAAAGTCAGTTTACTATGTTCAAGTGACAAGTTAAATGCATTGAAATAAGGATATTAGCATATGGTTACTATTTTAAAAGTTAGAATTGGGTCGTGAATTCCGCTCCATAGTTTTCTTCATATTCTTCTGTCATGTGAGTGTGATAGCTTACAACATAGAATCCACTTAATAATATAAATAATATTTATATATTATATATGGAAGCTATTATGATAAGCTACTTAGAACCGTATGAACAGAAAATTAATTTAGTAATATGACACATCCTAAACAGAACAAATCCACAGACACAATAACCGGTCGATCAACGCATCTGTAAAACATTATACAACAAATACAAGATATAACCCAATGCATAAATATATGAATTGTATCCATTGTTGTCATATTTCATCTATGTTATTTCTCAACAAACGTTTTAACCTAATTTTTCAGTGAGACATTAATTTCCTTCCTTTGAGTTGAAAAAAACATGCCAACAGTTTAAAACTTCTGGCAGACAGAAATAATCACTCTCATCTAATAAACAGAATCTCTTCCGTTTGAAACTTCTGACAAACAAAAAAAATCACTTTCGTCTGATAAACAGAATCACTACTGTTTGGACCTTCTGATAAACAAAATCGCTTCCGTTTGAAACTTCTGTATATTTAACAAACTTAATAAAGAATGCAAGCAAAATAAAGAAGCAAAACATTCAAAGCAAGTCTAATACGAAAATAACATCACTTGATTTTTATGATAAAAGTAGATTTATTTCGTTTCCATGTGTAGTGTGATGCATGTAATTGATTGCGTGGGTGGTGGGCGATGATGTGTGCAGAACGAAAAAGAAAAATTGGATTATGGAATGTATTTTTGTAATATTAATTGTATGTGAATAAAACGAATTATGCTGTGTTGCTTTGGAGTAATGGCAGTGTTTATGTATTATATTTATTGCTTACAACACTTACCTATTTCTGTATACAGAAAACAATTACGTCATCACAGTGCTTACAGCGAAAGGGAGGTAACTCTGACAATGGAGATGATAATTTATATCTGTAATGAAAACGCGGAAGATAATGATTAATACTACGCTAAAAGGGAGAAGTGGGGTGGGGGTTGGGGGTATTCTGACAATGCAGATAATCATTTATATATGTAATGATAATGCGGAGGATAATGATTTAAAATCTAAATTATAACTTGAAATATTTTACTGGTTATTCTAATAAATGACATACACAGAATGTCTAATATCCATCTCATATTTCCAATTGTTCCTGCGCTTAATTAAAAAAAAATTCATTTGAAAAATAAAGACTAATTATGTGTTGTTTGATTGGTAATATTATTAGATACTTGTTCCATGATGCCAGAAGATCTTCCCGAAACAACGGAGGTGGTGACAACTCATGCGAAGCAGCCAATTAAGTACAGGGTGACACAAAAAAAACGTTCATCAATAAAAATCGAATAACTTCCAAAATTTTATTTACATTAACACAAAAATTCAGCTACATTAGGTTAAGTCTATGTAGCAGACATCTCCAAAGTTTCAAGTCTGTACCACAAAAACTCTTTGTTTAACTCGCGCTCAAAAAATGTGCTCTAAATGAGCTCCCCGGTGCTGCAAGCACATTTGGATCCGGCGGGCAAAGTTTTCGATGACCCTCCCACATTCTTCCCTTGGGATCGCTTTTATTGCTGCTGTGATTGCTGCCTTCAGATCAGGGATAGTCTGGGGGTTGTTGCCATACACCCTGTCCTTTAGGTATCCCCACAGATAAAAATCTGGGGCGTTCAACCCTGCAGGTCACACCTGCGGCTGATCTGTCGGTCAGGAAAACGCTGCTGTAGCCATGCCAATGATTCGTTTGAGGTGTGGGGGTGGCACCATCCTGCTGGAACCACTTGAGGTCCCTCACGACCCCTCTTCGTCGACCAAGTTTAGGCGATGAACGCTTTTTTTGTGTCACCCGGTATGATATGATCTGAAAACATGTGGGTTAAAGTAATACGTATTGCAAAAAAAACAAAAAAACAATTAACTAAAATTGAACAATACTAACCTCAGTCTAATGCAGTTAAACGTGCACGTTATGAGCACGATCACCTAGAACGAGGCAAATGTCATTAGACATAATGAACAAAGAAATTAAAATAAAATCAGTTTGAATTGTCCAAATTATTAAACAGCAAAACCCATTGCAAACAGTTGGCATTACAGAAAATATTTTATTTGTCATTCTCGAAGAGTGTTATATTTTACATGTTAATGGAGTGGTTTTAAAGATAAATTGTTATTGTAAAATGTCTTAATTAATTCATTCTAATAGTAATTATTAATAATCAATATTAAAATATAGATTTCTATATTTTGTAAATTTATGTTTTTAAAATTTTGATAACTTTTGATTTTTCAGAAAATATAGAATTCATGGTAAAATTTCCAAAGAATATCGACAAGCCCAATAAAGCGGGAAAGTTGAAACAAATGAAATCTGTGGAAACTAATCATGCCAAAACGTGGAGCAGTTATTATAATCTAAATACTTACCAACGTCGTCTAATTTTAACAATTACACAATTTAAAATTAAATTTACTATGATTATGTACCAAAAACAGGCAGAGTAAGCTCATATCAAAGGATCTAACCAATCTCATTAAAACCAGAAGTCAATTACGTTTCGTTTCTTTCTTTCTTTTTTTTAAAAAAAATTGTACTAGCAAGATTGACCTCTGACATATTTTCCTTTTGGACGGATTTCAGAACACGTGATCTCATTAACAATTAAAATTGTCTGTACAGGTATAAAAGGCTTCGTTTTGTGGTGGTTCTAATAGGTATGTGGTAATGTTATTGACATACACAGAACTTTCACTACAGAAGACAGTTTTGATAGAAAATAGGTCAGATTACGATGTAGTGTAACAATCAGGAAAAATAAACGAAACGAAATTGTAATCTTAATTTAATTTGAATTACAACGAGGCATAAAATCATTCAGCATTCCGATCTACCAATATGTAACAAAACACGAATGGGTAAGGTAATTGAAGGATTTAGACTCTCACGTTAAAAGAAAGGCTGGACCTCTTTCATATGTAATATCAATTTAACTATAACCAATACAAGTGCTATTTTAAAATTAAAATTGTTTAGTCTTAGACGTTCACTGAAAGTAACTTACGGTCGAACATACCAAAGGGAGACAACTCAAAATATTACGCAATCATCACACTAAATCTATACTAACATAGCAGTGTGTAATAATGTCGACACGTGTTGTATTAATTAGAAGGTTTAGTTTATTTTACTCTCAAATGAATGACGTGAAATCGAATCACGAAATAAAGACCAATAAAGGTGTAATATGTTATGTTTATGGCACTGAAATATCGAAACTTGATTTTCCTTATACAGAGAAAGAGATCCAATATTGATAGCATCGTTTACATTTAACATACCAATTATTATTTATACATCGAAATTTATAATTTGTAAACCATACGACGATAGGCAGGGAGTTATGCAATAAAACAATTTGCATTAGGTGACCCCTCGTTTCCAAAAGCTCAAATTTAAAGCCTACTTTAGTGGGACCGCCACTGTAAAGCTTACACTTGATCGTTAATCAGGGGACCAATCAAATACCGACTTCGGCCATGATCTTAATCGGGTAACGAAGGGGGTTCATTTATAATATTTAGGTTGCCGAATTTCTAGTTCCTCCGTTTAACCTACTTTTACCATATCATAACGGCAGGAATAACCAAAAATCTTAAAACCCCCGAAAACAGGAGATGTGCCATTAAATTAAATAATTATCAAGTGTACTAATCAATGGTAGTTCAAATAACGAAGAACAAAACCGATTCCAAACATCCGCGAATTCAATTATTGCCATGTCTAGTGGACAGAGTTTAAGGGGAGATAATTCACCAATAAATTTCCTTTATAATTATTTAATTGTGAACTATTTTGATATAAGAAAGTATTGTTCTCGGTGTTTTATTATCTACAAATTAAAACTAATAAATCAAGACTATGGCCATGAAAATATATCTAATCGCTTGGGCTGGCTAGGATACATCCAACATGGCTGTTAGTTTTATGACGATTACCCATCATGCCACAAAATACTTATAGGCCTACAGATGCAAATTCAGAAGTGTGAGTGCAACACGTGCGTGCAGACATTTAGTAATCTAGATGTACGTGTATTTACAACATCAGTTCATCACCAAAACACACTGAACGATGCGGAGAAATTAAAATTACATACGGACTCTTTGGTTCGCTTTATTCGTTGACTTCGCTTGACTCTTACGTTAGGCCTTCTTTACTTACCCAAGGTTGACCTCCACAGCTATAACCTTTCACCTTTCACATCTGACCTCATGCACTACCGTAATTTGTACAAACCATTTGTTAAAATCTTTTTAGTTATTTTTCTGTAAATAAAGGACTGTTAGCACATGGACAATAAAACATAGTAAAAACGTAACTGATTATCGAAACAGAAACATAAATTCGTCACATAGAAGCACATTCGGAAGTCTTCATTTTCCCGTAATGCGATTGAATTCAGTGAATGCACGTCGATATTGCGAATGAGATAGGCGCATTGGAATAATGTCAACTTGAATACGATTTCGATGAATGTGAATGGCTGAAATTAAATAGGGGGGCGGGGGAACGTCGTTTCAATCTAATACTGCAGATATTTTAAGACTAAGATACAGTAATGCGAGGGGGTGCTAACTAGAAGTTACCCAACTATAAACATCTCGTAGACTGTTTTCGATTCGTACCTGAAGTGGAACACTGGACATTCCATTTGTCAGTCAGCGATTCTAACCTCAGAAATACACGCGCACCTTTTTGCCACAGATTTCCTTAATTTGAAACTGGTAATGTTTATGTTTTATACCCTACTAAGATAGGAATCCATGTCTACGTAGTTTGTGCGTAATGCGTATCACGCAATCGGCTGTTACGTTAGTATGAAACACTAATTCCTGCAAAATTGATTAGGTTTCGACATTTCGAGGCTGGAGATTGTGGGGGGTGGGGGGTCGTAAAGTTAATAGTATAGTTACGTACTGGAACACACCATACATGTTTAGCGTATACATAGAAACTTGTCTTACAATTTCAGTACACACAATTTTCATCCCATACTCACTATTCCTGGCAAATGCTAACTAGTTCATGGGTTAGGGTGATTGCGCTGGTTCAATAGCTTCTTGGCCTTGGCATGACCCCTAAAGCCTTAAATAGTCCCTGCTGGTTCTTTTGATATCCATATTTATAGAATTTTGTATAGGGACGAAGTATTGAAACGGGGGAAAAGTGCAATCCTTTCGTATTCCTAGCGGTTAATATTAGATTCCATATGGACTAGGAGTGATTCCATATGGGCGTATTGTTCTGTGCGTCATTGGGTAGTGTCATGTGACTAGCGTATTCAACGCTTCCTATTGCAGTAACCACTAATACGGCGTAACCAGGCGGACGATAAACACTTTGACCAGCACATGTGAACAGTCTAGCCGTACGCGCATTGATCCACGAATTGTGCAGGAAGGATAATGTATGTGTGTTTCGTATGGCTGTTTTCAGAACCACAGATCTAGACGTTTTTAAGTCGTAGATTGTTTTATTGTGGAAGATAATTGCACAGTTGCGCATTACGTAAATCAAATGGGGTTTAACATTCTGCTGTTCTGCTCCGACTGGGATAATGAAGACGGGCATACGCCATGCAGTGTGCTATGAGGGGCAATTTGTTCGGACTGAGGTGCTACGGCCTACTTTTATATCGAATTCCAACTGTCAAGGGTTCTTTTACGTGCACGTCAATGTGTACACGAAACCTCGGTTTTTTGTCCCATCCGAAGGACTATACGTTATCCCTTGCTAAGCTCTCTGTACTACACCACTGTCAAGGGGGGGGGGGGCACGCCGAACAATCTCGACCAACGTAGGGATCGAACACGTGACTCCAGGTTAGTGAGCCAACCTCCTACTCAACGAGCCACTGTTGCTCCCGTCGTATTACGTCTATTACTTACACATGGATTCCTAACTTTGGTTTATTTGAGATTCTGTTATTTATTTCCTAAGTTCTTCCATATTGTTTTAAATTTTAAAAGCAGCTGGTCTAAACAATATGTAAATTTATAGCTACTACAATGTTGTCATCAATATGCTCTATATTTACCACTGCCGGGTTATCTGTTCTTGTTGTTGTCTTTGTTGTTGTCTTCAGTTTTACCATGTAGTCAGTCAACAAGCTTGTCTGAAAAATAAGGAAAAAAATATTTCAGATTTTTGGTTTTACTTCACACTACTTATAGCCCCTCCACAAGATACGCTAAACAATAGTGTTTATAATTAAGCTTTGTCGATGGCTCTGAGAGAGAGGGGGGGGGGGGTGTTAACGTCCACAAACGGTGGCTAAGTGGGTAAGACGCTCGCTCGCTAGCCTGGATGTCGGGTGTTCGATCCCTGCTTTGGCCGAGAAAGTTCATCCAGATTTTCCGGAGTGGTTCCCCCTTGTCAGTGATACCATTAAATATGGCAATGGTTATCTGACCAGGAGGTTGTGTGTGAAATAGCTCTTTTTAACGTCCGCTTCCACCGGAGTGACCAGGAGGTTCTGCATCTTGTGTATATATATATATATATCAATGTCAGCACATTAAAGACACATGCTAATCGAAATAAAAATAGACCGTATCGCCGCCTTCAGCGCAAGTTTACGCATCGTTGCGCATTGTCTTTATTGGAAAACTCCTGAAATGTTCAGAAATTGTCAGGGCCGCGTGTTCGCGTTGTCGCATGGACATTAAAAAAAATAACCTAATTGTAGTACTCAGCGTTTGATTTGAGTAATGAATTGAACTTGAATATAGTGGTGCTTTGTGCTTATTAATAATCTGTAATATGATTTGTGGTTTAGATAGTTAAAAAGAAATATTGAGCCTCTATGTTTAATATTGTTATCAATGAAATACCTATAGGTACCTAAAGAAGAACCTACAATAAGCAAACCAGTTATCACCGCGTGACGTCAAGGTCAAACTCCTTACTATTGAATCAGAAATAAGAATATCTATTCAGTGTATACAATTATCATCATTCTATGGTAAAATATAATAATAGTGTTCACTAATTACTAGAGACAATGCGGTTGATTGTATAGATGATCCTGTAATATTAGTTCAGTACACATGATTGTACATTTGTGACAAACATCTGTGTACAAAATTTCTAGGAGACATGTGGAGGGTTTCCATCCCCACACGAGCATACAAACACGTTCAACATCCACCTTAATATTCTTGGGCCATAGTGGTTTGGTGAGCATGGCGCTGACGCATTAAAACAGAGGTCACGAGAAACTTCCTCGCGATTTTTAAGCCTGGCAATCTTCTAGTCGGACGGATGGGAAAGTAAACCGAAGTCCACTCTTGCAGTCGTTGGCGTGCACGTAAAATAACCCTACACAGTAGGAATTTGATAAGGGTACGAGTAAACGCCGCTGTCCAGTGTATGTAGTATATGCGTATCTTAACGATACATAATGTAAGATCATGGACATTATAAGGTCCATGGTAAGATTTAGATAAAGAGCTAGCCATTCTTGCTACAAGTAGTTCAAATACAGTTCATGCAAAATGAATATATTTAAATTAATAGGTGCCATGTTTGTAGGTCTGCTTAGGTGCGCTGCACTTAATATTAGCAATAATTTACTTACTAAATGAACGTGAAGTGACATCAGGTGTTCTAGAAAGTAAAAGTATACTCTGACTAGATTAAGACACGGGTAACTAATTATTGCTAGTTTGGGCGATAGTTCGAATTTGGATTTCAGACGCGAAAGCGCACGAAGAAAGTAATATCGAGACAATAGCCACCAAAATACTTCTACAATCGTTATCTATACAGCTTTACCATGCAACATTAACGATTATCATATACGAGCCAGTGAATGTGCTTACAAAACACCCAATACCAGCTTTCGTTGATTTGGGAAGTTCACACGACTATATCAATATAGAAATTGAGGTCTAACATAAAGTCTGGCCTCCAAATCAATTTGATCGAAAGGTTGTTGACCTTTAGAAAGTTAAAGCAATATCCATCAACGTATGAGAATAATATTTAATGTCTCTACTTTATTAGAAAGTTATTTGGTAAATTTGGTAAGTGGGTAGTTAGTTTAATCAAGCGAGTAATATCTACTTGTATATTTTACCATGTACTACTGTTTACTAACAATAAACTTACGGTACTTGACCATGTACAGGACATTGACAATCAGTTTGTTTACTAGGGGATTGTCGTGGATGGGAATATTTGTATTGTTTTGCTGGATTATACGATAAATCAGACAAATGCTTATTTTATTTTGATAAATGTTGTAGACTGACGTGTTTAGACTCAGTATGCACATGTTATAAGCTAATAAAAAAATATTTAATCTTTCATGTAAATTATGCCATTAAATCTCTTTTTTGTTAAAATAAATCAAATAAATCATGCTAGCAAACTTTAAACATACAAATAAATCTTTAACACATGTAACTCTTTAAAAAAAAAGTCATGCAAATAACTATTCTTTAAAAAAGTCATGCAAATAACTGTTTTAAAAAGGTCATGCAATAAATCTTTAAAAACATGCAAGCAAGTGTGTTTTTAAAAAAAAAAGAAAAAAGAATCATGGAAGTTATCTTTACAAACATCCAGGAACATCTTTAAAAGAAAGAAAGTAAATCTTTAAGAAGTCATACGGGTTAATCTTTAAAATATACAAGTAAATCTATTTAAGAGAATCATACAAGTCATAAATAATCATATCTAAAAGGTTAAAGATAAATCATGCTCTAGTCCGCTTAGAATCCATTTATTTAACTGGGTGCAATATTAGGACGAGTTTACCTAGCCAAAGCTTATAAATTGATGTACTTAGAAATTTTAGTAACACCTTTACTTCTGTTGACGGAACTATCATATATTTATTATCTTTATTGATTTTATCAACTTCCGTTCTATAGGTCAATATAACTTGTTGTCCATATTTAAACTAGCGGCTAGAGTAGTGTTAAAACGACAGGAAATATACACTTTCATCAAGTACATGGTCATAAAGAACTATGAATGAAATAAAATTTTGGGTCAACATAGCATCCAGATCAATTTTCTAACTTTTGCTTTCTGCCCACCACCATCTGATCCTTTTCCATATTCTAATACACAGAATGAAGTTACAAACGATTTTTAAATAGCATATTTGGCTGCCAATTGAAAATCAATGATTTGTTTTGCAGCCAATAATTAGCACCGAGTGCAGTAAAAGAAAAACAAACGCATACAAAATACCTCCACGTGAATCTACAAAATGCACAAATTAAACAAAAACTGAAACTATTTTGCAGTTGACCTTTTAGAACACAGTATCTAAAAGGCCATATTGATTTGGTTTGTTTGAGAAAGGCCAGATCTAAGTAGATCGAAGCATTTTGGAATAGAAGTTGTCAGCGATTCGATTTTGCACACAGAGAGCAAACATATCCTAATTGACGATAACTTTAGCTAATCGGCAATCATTTGATTTTTTTTACATCAAACGGAAGGAAGGAATTAAAAGACAGTTCAATTTCCTTTTCATATAAAGTAAACAAATTCCTATACACAGAGAGAAAGGGTGAAAATGCTCAAGGTTACTCCTTTGTCAGGTGCACGTTTGAACAAGATACCACACCATCTCACTCATTGGCAGAGTTTATGATCTGAAGCGCTAACGTTATACCACTCCCCACTCCCACCTCTCCCTGGAAGTTTTCCTGCAGCCAGTGGCGGCGTCAAGAGAGGGGGGGGGGGCGCATTTGCCCCCTCATAAATCTGGTCTGCTCTCTGTTTGCCCCCCCCCCCCAATAATTTTGGAAAATAAAAAAAAAATATTTGTGATACGTTTCGGTAATCAATACTTTCTACAGTGATTAAATCCCACGTCCCCACTCAGTCATAGACTTGCATGTTGTTGAGTCTGAGTGATTTCTTACCACGCCCATCCTGCTGTTAACCTACTATAAACAATAACACGTGACCACCTGAGAAGTGCTTTTTACGATCCTCAAAGTTTTTGGGTATATAGGTTCAAAGCGGCGAGAATATGCGTTCACTTGATACACTCACTGAGTTCGTTTGACATTTCCCTCTCTATTCGGATAAGCTGGTCAGCTCTATTTCTGAAATTCACTTTGATTCACTCACTCCGTCCGTTTGACACTTTCCTCTCTGGTCGGATAAACTAGTGACTTGGCGACAGGCGGTATCTGGTAAGCTCTATTTATCTCGACGATCAGTGCCTGAAATACTGCCAGACTGCATTTCCGGCAGTCTACTTTTCAAATTTTCGGGGGCTTCGCTGAGGTTCGCAAGTCCGTTCATTTGACACTTTCCTCTCTGGGGTCGGATAGACTAGTGATCAGGCGACAGACGGTATCTGATCAGCTCTATTTATCTCGACAATCGGTACCTAAATACTGTCAGACAGCATTTCCGACAGTCTATTTTTCAAAATTTTCTTGGGGGAGGTCCCCCATAACCTCCGTAAGGATTTCCTACTTTGGCGCTCGTGAGTGGGCTTCGTCGAGGTTCGGTCGTTTGACACTTTATCTCAACGACCGGTGACTGAAATACTGCCAGGCTGCATTTCCGGCAGCCTGTTGAAGCTCGTGCCTTTGCCCACTTAACCTTGGACTTTGCTCCCAGCTTTGCCCCTCCATCCACCGGCGGCTGGCGCCGCCACTGCCTGCAGCGTAGTAATTTTTCTACAATATACTGTCTTTTACATTGCTTTTGCATTTAATCGGTATCCAGATACAGTTTGATGGGCTTAAAAATAGAACACCACAGAGAATTGACAGCCAGTTAAGAAAGAAAATATAAACGGGTGCTATCGGTCAATTTGGCTGATATTTTCGACTGTATGAAAATCAGTTAAGCTGTATAGAAAAATTCCATCTAAGCAAATCTCCAATTTACAAGATTCGTTTGAAGATGATAAAAAAATTATACCTAGACTTTTTTTTCTCATAAACTTGTCATTCATTGTATGCGACCCAGATTCGCTTCAGTTGTCGCCTGTCATTCATAGCCAGCTTACCACTTCATAAATCATCGACGAAAAATAAATTATAGTTTGTGTATCAATCCTCAAAGCCGACAACTTATTTAATGTTCGGTAATAGAAAAGATCTTTGAAGCGAATCGAATCGCATTGGATTT